TCAGGAAAAAAAGAGAAAAACAAAAATGGGTCAGCGAGAAATTCGAAAAGGAAACAGAAACGAACTGAAATAAAAATAAAAATTACAATAAGTTCAACCCAAATCAATTAAATTCATTACTTATTTTTCAGTGTAAAACCCATTTAGATAGCCTTTATTACTTATTTCTTTTATTCTTTTATTAGCTAATTAACTTTTTATCTGCTAATTAACTTTTTATCTAAATTCTTTTATGTTTGAAATTTAGGTTCTAACCATATCATGAATTTCTTCAATCATGTAATATATATGTCCGCAATTATTGTATGTTTTCATCTATTTATTAAAGTTTGATGGGAATGGGCTCATTTCCCACAGAATGAGAATGGGAGGATCTTTTTCTTTTTCTTTATCCCACTAAAAACTTTTGTAGAAATCTCCATCTCAACTAATATTGAGATGGAAAGGGTCTCGCTCACCTAATGGGGACATTTTGCCATTTTAATTTATAGTTTCATCTACAAGTCATAAGTTTTGAAAAAACAAAATGTAAAAAATTAATAATAATAACAACAACAACAACAACATGAGCTAGTTTTGACTTGTGAAAGTAACAAACAATGAAAGAACCCTAGAGTCTTTTTTAGCCATCAAAATTGAACCAACAAAACATGTTACTGAATTAAGTATGATTAGAAGAAACTAATTTGAACATGTGTATAGACAAAAAATCATTAAAAGGAAAATACAATTTTACAAGAATCATGTTTTTCAATGTGAAATCCACATTAAAAATGCATATATGCATGGTGTTGGGGCAAGGGGTTGATGAGTCAATAGTGATGATGACATGAAAACTGACTAGGATGCCCCTTACAGGAGATGAGAAAGGTCCTTTTGGTTTGCACCCATTTTATATGCAAAAGGCTATACGCCACAGGCCATCTCCCTTCATTCAACGAAGATGAGCTGCACAAGATTCTTCAATAAAATTTGATAATACATCTTCCCTTGCTAAGTTAGAAAAGTGTAGTAGAGTCTTTCCATCTCTTCTTCTTCTTCAGTAAGGATGAACTACAAGCTTTCTCTAGCAAAGTGTGGAAACAGAGTTTCCCTAGCCAAGCTGGAAAAGTGGGGCAATGACAATGCTCCCTCTAAGAAGGATGAACTACAAACTTTCTCCAGCAAAGTTCAGAAATATAGCTTTTCCAACGAAGTCTGGAGATTAAAGTTTCTCCAGTGAAGTCTAAAAATAGAGCTTTCCCAG